CACTGGTAGTTAATTGGAGATAAGAGTTTCATGGACTTTCCTGGCTTGGCTGGCTTTGAATCTTGATCTTCAGTTCTCAGCTTCCTGAGCAGCTAGGATTACAGGTGTGAGTCACCAGTGCCAGTGGTCAACAGATTTTATACCTTATCTAAGACAAGATATGGTTCCTATCTTTTTGCTCTACTTTAATCTCTTATCATGAGATAGATATGAAAATTCTACTTTAAGAAATTATTATTTATTGAATTCTTAATTGAATAAAGAATTGAAATGCAGTCGGGCACCAGTGGTAGGCTAGTGCCTTAATAAAAATTCTCAGGGACAGCATTTAGACACTGAGTTCAAGCTCTAGTACCAATGTACTTCCCCCTCTGTATAACTGTCAACTAATAAAATAAATAAAAAATAAATTAATTACATTAAGACTTAAATACTTTAATTGATCCCTGGGTTTTTTCTGGTTATGTTCTCTTCCAAGCTCTATATGCAAAGATGAAATTAATATTTCAACAAAAGTAAGACCTTAGGATCTACCTATGAAATTTTTTTTCAAAGCACTATCAACAGAAGTCAGATCCAAGGAAAGATTAAACTACTGTGTCTCTCATCTCAAAGGTGAGGATGATGGTAATAGCCATCACCAAATGCTTACTGATCCAAAGATAATAAATGGTTTTCTGACTCTTCTACATGTGATTAACTAAGTGTAAAAGCACAGAGGAATGTACAACCTCTGTTTCTTCTTTGATGAGAGCTGGAGGGAGGTGACTGCAATTAAGGATATGTGTCATAACAAGGATTCAGTGACTCATGCATGTAGTCCTAGTCAGTCAGGACTCTAAGACCTAAGTACCCCAGTTCAAAGACAGCCAGGGCAATAAAGTCGGTGAGACTCTTATTTCCAATTAATCACTAAAAAGACAGAGGTAGAGCTGTGGCTCATGTAGCAGAGCACTAGCCTTCAGCAAAAATTGCTCAAGGGCAGCACCCAGGCCCTGAGTTCAAGCCTCAATACCAGCACACACACACACACACAAAGAACATATACAGATAAACCAAAGCATATATACATATTATATATCATGTTAAATTACATAGATTATCATAGTATATTAATATATGTGTTATTAATTTTATGTTCATCGATATATGTTAATATATTGGCACTGTATTAATATATAATATTATTAGATATTATATATCATAACATATCATGATATATTTTTATATCATTATATATTTTATATCATATATTTATATATACATATATTTGATATAAACAAGTACCTTAAAGTATCTTTAAGAAGTTTAAAAATCAGTAAATGCAGGAACTTTCTAAAATTTAAACTATAGATGTATAATCTTACCTAAACATGTCATAATGTGATACAGTTGATCAATATCAGACTCTCCAGGAAATAGGGCTTCCCCCATGAGCATTTCAGTTACCAGGCAACCGACGGCCCACACATCAACAGCCCTAAAAGAAATAGAAAATCTAGCTGCATATCTAACATGTTTACTTACTATATCTGTTCTGCATTTTACTATGTGATATTTGGAGTTGAAGCAAGCCATGAATTGTTCATAAAAAGACATCTCTCTAACAAGTTAAGGGTTCTAATTCTGCATTTTAAGTTGTGAGATTTTCAGAAAGTTCAGTCATGTGACACTAGAGGAAAAAGGCTTCTTAAAGGTCAAAACAATGATCACCCCTTCCTCATGCAACTGTAACCTCTCTGTACAGTATTTTTACAATAAAAACATATAAAAATTATCACATGTACTTTATTTTGGAAACAAGACTCTCAGGATTCCAGGGCCTTCCTTTTGTGTTATACATAATTCTAACAAGGCTCAGAAGTCTATTCTTTTGTGCACTGAAGAAAAAAAAAAGCACACTAGAAAAAAGGGTGTTGCTGAAGAAAAACATAGATAAAAGAACCAAAAACCAAGAGGGAAAAAAAATAAAACAATCCTAAAAATTTTTCACAAGAATTCAAAGAATATATTACCATCATTTAGCATAACTGCCCTGAAGTTACTTAAGATAGTTGCTGAATTATAAAATGGTACAAAAATACTAGCAAGGCAGCAAAATGGGAATTCTGGATAATTGAGAAAATCTTGAGACATTTTTAGTCTGAAAACAAAGAAACTATACAAAATATTTTAGAAAGATTTCTGTCAAAAACAATTTAAAAAGCTAGAAACAGGAGGCTCACTCCTGTAATCCTAGCTATTCAGGAGGCTGAGAGCTAGATGATCACAATCCAAAACCAGTCCGGGCAGAAAAGTCATTGAGACTCCATCCCCAAAATACCCAGCAAAAAGTAGAGCTTGAAGCATGGCTCAAGTGATAGAGTATAGCCAGACAAGAAAGCAAGTTGAGCAAGCTTGAGATCCTGAGTTCAAAACACTAGTACCACTAAAAAATAAATGAATAAAATTAAAATCTCTTCTTTAAAGAATTCACTTATGAAGACAACTTATGCTTAGTAAAGATTTCATATATGTGGACTGAAAAAAAAATTTCACTCAATCACATTTTTACTCCCGCTCTTGCCTACTCTAACCCATCTCATTCTAATATTCAAAAAAAAAAAACCAGACTTCTCCAATTTTACTATCTTGTTACAAATAAAATAGATGTGTGTATATATATACATATATATTTATGTATGACCATTGTAAAAAGATAGATATATACAATTATAATACATATATATATAAATATATCAGACCATTGTAAAAAGTATACCAAAGCAATCTACCAGTGACACATACACTCCCAGCCCTTACAAGAACTTTAAAAGGTTAATAAAAAGTGAAAATGAGCACCTATCACTTTATAAACTTCCCTAAACTTGAACTTTCCTTTTCAGAGTTACAGATCTTTATTATATTAACCTATTCCATTGAGTCAAGAAAAGAAAACTAAACTCTGCTCCCTCTCATTCATATATCTTACTTGCCATACTTGACATCACCAACCAGCAGTTCTGGTGCTCTGTACCATCGGGTAGCCACGTAATCAGTATAAACCTCCCCAGGAGCTGCCAGTGTTCGAGCAAATCCAAAGTCACATAACTTGACAACACCAGACTGAGAGACCAGTATATTTTCTGGCTTTATATCTCTATGTATGATCTAAGACAAAAAGCAGAATATCATGTATGTTAAACAAATTACTTGCCATGAACAGGACACTTTTTCTGTCCCTCAAAATATTATAGCCAGCCTGGGCGCTGGTGGCTCACGCCTGTAATTCTAGCTACTCAGGAGGCTGAGATCTGAGGATCACGGTTCAAAGCCAGCCGGGCAGGAGAGACCGTGAGACTCCTATCTCCAATAAACTACCAGAAAACCGGAAGTGGCGCTGTAGCTCAAGTGGTAGAGTGCTAGCCTTGAGCTGAAGAGCTGAGGGACAGAGCCCAGGCCCGGAGTTCAAGCCCCCCGACAGACCAAAAAAAAAAAAAAAAAGACTACAGACAGGTGGCAGGGTGCTGGTGGCTCACCCCTACAATCCTAGCTATTCAGGAGGCTGAGATGTGAGGATCAGTTTGAAGCCAGCCCAGACAGGAAAGTCCATCAGACAGGAAAGTCCATCAGACATTTTTTTTTTTTTATTTGTCGTCCTGAGGCTTGAACTCTGGGCCTGGGCGCTGTCCCTACACTCTTCACCTCAAGGAGAATGCTCTACCGCTTGAACCACAGCACCACATCCAGTTTTCTAGTGGTTTATTGGAGATAGGAGTCTCACGGACTTTCGAGGCTGGCTTTGAACCTCAATCCTCAGATCTCAGCCTCCTAAGTAGTTAGGATTACAGGCATGAGCCTCTGGTGCCTGGCCCCATCAGACTCTTATCTCCAATTAACCAATCAAAAATTGGGAGTGATAGTGTGCTCAAAGTGGTAGAGCACTAGCCTTGAGCAAAAGCAGCTCAGGGACAGCACCCAGAACCTGAGTTCAAGCCCCACAACTAACCAGAAAAAAAAGGACATTCATGCTTGAAGTTTCATTTAAGCTATAAAAAATATTGAATATACATATGAATATATCACTATGAACAAATCAACTGCACAGTTATTTTTGTTCACTGGTTCAATTGGCAAGCCAATCCTTAGTGCACATATAATGTAGGAGAGGTTAGCTACCTAACATAAGTACTATAGGCCCACTGGAAAAGTACCATCCTTTACATGAGAAGGAATAATCAATGTCTTTCCAATTGATTCCATTAAGTATTTGCTTTACTAACACCTCATAGTACTCTAATTTCCTGAACGCTCAATGTTATTTCTATACCTCATTGTTTTAGCTCTGTAATGATCATATCTTGATTCTACTAAACTGGCATTTAGATACCCAAGTTTGATTCATATGAGTCTGCTCTAAGAAACAGAAATAGCAAAAAAATTAGATTTCTCAAAAATCACTTTCTGAAACTGGATTATTCCTAAATTGCTAAGAGGCCACTTTGGGAGCTTCTCTAAGAAAATGTTTCCCCATATAGAAACTAGAAATTTCTCTTTAGTGAACAATTGCCTTAGTATATATAATTCAATGTATAATGAAACTATATAAGCTAGATGTGATAGGTCATGCCTATAATCCTAGCTACTCAGAAAGCTGAGCTCTGAGGATCACAGTTTCAAGCTAGTTCTGGCAGGAAAGTCTGTGAGAGTCTTATCTTCAATTAACCTACAAAAGTGGGAAATAGAGCTGTGGCTCACATGGTAGAGCACTAGCCTTGAGCAAAAGAAAGCTCAGGCACAGCACCATAGGGCCCCTTCAGCCTGGGACCAACACAAAAGCAAAAAGGAAAACAAAAAAATTAATAAGACTGTAAAATAATAAGAAAATTGAAAAAAATCATGGGCACATAGATTATGTACCTTTTATTCTTTTTTACAATTATCTTTGGTTTTTTCCTACCATTAATGCTTATTATTATTTTTTTTTTGGGGGGGGGTCCGGTCGTGGGGCCTGAACTCTGGGCCTGGGCGCTGTCCCTCAGCTCTTCAGCTCAAGGCTAGCGCTCTACCACTTGAGCCACGGCGCCACTTCCGGCTTTTTTTTTCTTTTTGCTTATGTGGTGCTGAGGAATCGAACCCAGGGCCTCTGGCATGCAAGGCAAGCGCTTTACCACTGAGCCACCTTCCCAGCCCAATGCTTATTATTTTAATCACACAAAAGAATCAAATGAAATTCATGATCATACAAAAATGTCATTTAACATAAGATAAAACTTGCAGAATATATGTTAAATTACTTATTATATATATATATATAGATATATATATATATATATCTCACTCCCAGAGGTGTCATTTTTCCTGGAGTAAAAGTGCAATATAGCATAGGATAGTAATAGATACTTTCATAATTTCATATCTCACAACTTGTCCAAGAAAAGGAATTAATACATACATTCTTGGTGTATAAATTTAATAAAGCTCATTACTTTATACTTGTACATTTCACTAATGTTACCTTTTTAGAAAGGAACAATTAACACGTTTTTATGTCTAATTAATGAAATGCACAAATAAAGAAAATGCTTGTTGGGAGGAATTGATACATGTATTATGACACAAAAATTGTCAATATCAAAATAATACAGTTCAATTATTTTACTGTTTTAAGCTTTATACTAATATGTCATAGATTGACTGGTATCTAGGTAGTTAACAATTGTTAAAAATAATTATTTAAACTGAATACTCACATTGTGACTATGACAAAATCCAATTCCACTAATAATCTGAAACAAATACTTTTGGACAACTTGATAGTCTAGTCCCTTGGGAAAAAGTTCCAAGTCATCAAGAATGGTGTGATCAACAAATTCAAAGACTAGGTACCAGCGTTTCTTTTTCTTACACACTTCCAACAGATTCACCAAATTTTCATGCCTCAGTTGCTGTTATTAGAAAAAAAAATACAAGGTCAGTTTATAAAACAAAATTGCCAGCAATTAGTCACTGGCTAAAATAGATCCCTGTGTAAGAAAAACATAAATAAAATACATAAGCAATGTATATTATGAAAATGCATTCTAGTTGGAAAATACCAGTAAAAAAGACCATATTGCTCCTTTTTCTCCTCAGGGAAAAGTAAAGCCTTGAGAAAACAGGACTGTAACACACCACCAACAACAAAGAGGGAAGAACTACCAAATAAGTCAAGGTCAAACAGGAGTGTGGAGAAATACCAAAATATTGTCTATGGTTATGAAGCTGGCAGAAAATGATTTCACAGCAGAAATTAAAGCAGAAAGCATCTATCTCAACTTTGGACAATGAACTGCACGATAGCACATTGAGGATAGTAGCAGGAATTAAATTACAAAAATTTTAAAATAAAACAGAAACATACATAATAGCGGAGATAAAGTCAAGCAGTGGTTTCTTCTAACAATAGATGTAGCTGGGTGCTGGTGGCTCACCCCTACAATCCTAGCTACTCAGAAGGCTGAGATCTGAGGATCACAGTTCAAAGCCAGCCTAGGCAGAAAAGTCCATGAGACTTTTTTTTTTTTTTTGTCGGTCATGGGGTTTGAACTCTGGGCCTGAGCACTGTCCCTCAGCTCTTCAGCTCAAGGCAAATGCTCTACCACTTGAGCTCATGGCCACTTCCGGTTTTCTGGTGGTTTATTGGAGATAAGAGTTTCACGGACTTTCCATGGGCTGGCTTTGAACCTCGATCCTCAGATCTCAGCCTCCTGAGTAGCTAGGATTACAATCGAGAGCCACCGGTGCCCAGCTCCATGAGACTCATCTCCAATTAACCATGCAAAACCCAAAGTGGTTTAGCTGTAGCTAAAAGCAGTAGAATGTTAGCCTTGAGCAAAAGCTCAGGGACAGAGCCCAGGCCCCTTGTTCAAGCCCCAGGATCTACAAAAAAGAAAAAGAAAAGAAAGAGAGAAAGGAGGGGGGAGGGAAGGGAGAAACAATTTACAGAGGAGGCCCTGAAACTGAAGTGCTTATTAAGCACAAGCTGCTTGCAAAGTGGGCTGTTAATTGGCACCTGGGAACTTAGCTTTCGGGAGGGTTTCCCTTCATTTCCAGATATGGTGACTAATTTTCTGAGAGAGTAGACAAAACTAATATGCTCAACATTGTTAACTCTGTGCTCTTGTTTCCACGGCAGGAAAAAATCCTACTGGTTTTAAATTACAAGGGAAAAATATGAGAATCTAGGATGGGTTGGAAAAACTGTGCGGACAATACTTCACATATTGCATACCTGCTTCCTTCTGGGAATGGAGAATTTGGGTTGGTAGTAGGCCGAGAGTGTCTATGTGGGCAGCCCCTAATAAAATCCCGGGGTACTGAACATTTAATGAATTTCCTTAATAGACAATATTTCCCATGTGCTGCCACCATTCATTGCTGAAGGAAATAAGCACATTCTATGTGACCTGACTACAAAAGGACTCTTGTTCTACCTTGTACCCCTTTGCTGATTTTGCTTTATACTCTTTCACTGTAATAAGTCTTAGATAAGGACTTATATATATGCTGTATGCTGAGGACCATGATCTTCCTAGAGAGTTACTGAACCCAAAGGTAGTCTTAGGGACCACTAACACAGATGATTGGTTGATCAACAGGCAGATGACTCAGAAAGAAGAAACAAAATATGCTAAACCATTTTAAACTTGCAACATAAACAAATGTACATATATTAAAATTTTATTTCTCCTGTTGCTAAAATTAGAATTTTATCTTTTAAAATCTGTTATAATCAAAACAAAGCTAAAGACACAGTAATATTTCTGGAAGAGAATCTTGATCAAGAAACAAGGCACATTTTTTTTTTTCAATTCAGTAGACATATTTACTTACCTTTAGTAACTTGATTTCTCGCATAGCAATTTTTCTAACCATTTTGTCATCATCACTTTCTAAGAACTTCTTGATGGCCACAATTCTTCCATTGTCTTTATTCCTACATTTCATCACCATTCCATAACTCCCTTCTCCAACCAATCCAAGATTCTCATATTTTTCCATTTTAATTTAAAACCAGTAGGAATTTTTCCTGCCGTGGAAACCAGAGCACAGAGTTAATGTTGAGCATATTAGTTTCTTCCACTCTCAGAAAATTAGTTCTTCCTGCTTGCTTTATTAGAGTAGTCATGTTCATGGCTATGAACACTATGAACACTATGTTCAGGTCTGTCTGTGCTAACTCAACATTTCTTGATGCTTCCATATCTAGGGTATATTTTCAAAATAGGCACATGCAATTAGAATAGACAAGGTGAATGAACTAAAGCCATTAAATGTAAATTACTAAATATTGTATTAATGAAATTCAATGTATTTTAACTTATGTAAAGAAATAACTAAGCTATTACACAAAACATCATACTAGAAAAGTACAGTCTCATTGCATTCAAAAATGAGAAACAGCACAAGTATATTTGCTTTTAATCAAAATTTTCTAACCAAGTTTGCTTTCCCTAGAACTCTACTAAACTCTAGGGTCAAGATAAGACAGGCAGGGCTGGGATGGTGGCTCAGTGGTATAGTGCTTGCCTTGCGTGCATGAGGCCCTGGGTTCCTCAATACCACATAAGCAGAAAAAGCCAGAAGTGGCACTGTGGCTCAAGTGGTAGAGTGCTAGCCTTGGGCTGAAGAGCTGAGGGACAGCACCCAGGCCAAGAGTTCAGACCCCACGACTGCCCCCAAAAAAACAAAAAGATAATACTGGCAGTTGGATGCTGGTGGTGCATGCCTTAATCCTAGCTACTCAGGAGGCTGAGATCTGAGGACTGAAGTTCACAGCTAACATGAACAGGAAAGCCCCAGGGCTAACACCAAACAAAAATACATAGATAAACAATTTTAGAGTCACAAGTCTTTGAGTAGGGAATAATAGGTAGTCACTAGTTATGAGAGATGGAGAAATGAAAAAAACAAAAACAAAACAACAACAACAACAAAAACCTTTTTAATTTATGTTTTTATTTTTTTGCCAGGGCTTTTTTGCCTGTGTGCTGTCCCAGAGCTTTTGGGCTCAAAGCTAGTGTTCTACCATTTGAGCCACAGCTCTACTTCTGCCTTTTTGGTGGTTAATTGGAGATAAGAGTCTCACAGACTTCCTTGCCCAGGCCGATTTCAAACACTAATCCTCAGACCTCAGCATCCTGAGTAGCCAGGCTCACAGGTATGAGCCATCAGCACCCAGCACAAAGGAAACAGGAGATGTAGGATGTGATCACAATGTCTATAAGGGAAAATATTGTAATTAAACTTTTCAACTGAAGTGGCTCACCAACGTCATGGAATGTCACAAGATGGTACATTGTCTGCAATGAAAACAGAACTATGCCTATTGAAATTGTTTTAAGAAGGAGGGAAAAGAGGAAGGAGTCAAAGGAGAGCGACAGAAGTGGTGACACTAATTTGAATACATTGTATATGTATGAAACCCTCCCTTGTATAAGTAATACATGCTAATAAATGAGTCTTTTAGTACTCTATCCACCTAAGGATTCATGATAGACTTCATTTCAGCCTAAGGTGGATCAACAAGTAGTTCTAAAACAACAGATCTTTAACTACCCAGCCCAGGATATCATGCCTTAGAGGTCAAATACAATTCTGTAAACCTCTCTTAACCATAGGACAGTGACTTTCCCCATGAACTTCCTGAGGAGGAACTTGACACTCCATATGTCTTACACTTTTAGCAAAAACTTGTGCTGAGGGGTAGGGAAGGTGACTCAGTACTATAGTGCTTGCCTTGCATGCATGAGGCCCTGGGTTCGATTCCTTAGCAGCACATAAGCAGAAAAAGCCGGAAATGGCGCTGTGACTCAAGTGGTAAAGTGCCAGCCCTGAGCTGAAGAGCTGAGGGACAGTGCCCAGGCCCAGAGTTCAGGCCCCACGACCCCAGCGGAGGAGTTGGGGGGCCCAACCGGGGGACTTGTGCTAAAGCAAAAGTCATTGTCATTCTCACCTTAAAGATGGCCACTTTCAGTCTATTTCAGTCTATTGAAAAGTTATTCCTTTTCTAATAAATTGATCTATCCAGTTTTGTTTTGTTTTGTTGTTTTTTGTTTTGCCAGTCCTGGGGCTTGAACTCAGGGCCCGGGTGCTTTCCCTGAGCTGCTTTTTGCTCAAGGCTAGCACGCTACCACCTGAGCCACAGCGCCAATTCCAGCTTTTTCTCTTTATATGGTACTGAGGAATCAAACCCAGGGCTTCATGCATGCTACAAAAGCACTCTACCACTAAGCCACATTCCCAGCCCCATGACATATCATTTTTTAAAAGATCAAATTTTTACACTAGGTTGAAAAGATATCCGTGTTAGAAATCCTTATGAAGGGCTGGGAAGGTGGCTCAGTGGTAGAGCGCTTGCCTTGCATGCATGAGGCCCTGTGTTCGATTCCTCAGCACCACATAAGCAAAAAGAAAAAGCCGGAAGTGGCACTGTGGCTCAAGTGGTAGAGCGCTAGACTTGAGCTGAAGAGCTGAGGGACAGCGCCCAAGCCCAGAGTTCAGGCCCCACAACTGGACCAAAAAAAAAAAAAAGAAATCCTTATGTACTTTCTACTCAATGGGGAAAAAAAATCTGATCATAAAATAGCCACCTAACAAATGAACAGTGAATCTTTAATAACCTTTTCAAGCAATACTAATTACATTACTATGTTGAATTTATTTTTTAAAATAATAATAGTAAGATCATACCTGGGCACTGGTGGCTCATGCTTGTGATCCTAGCTCCTTAGGAGACTGAGATCTGAGATTTGCTGTTTGAAGCCAGCCTGGGCATGAAAGTCAGTGACTCATCTCCAAATAATCACAAAAAAAAGCCAGAAGTTTGCTCTGGCTCAAGTGGCAAACCATCATCCTCGAACAAGAAAGCTCAAGGAGAGTACCGAACCTTGAGTTCAAGCCCCAAGACTGGTGCACACAAACACAAAAAGACCAATGACATCACAGTACACGGGCATATTTTTTGTGTGTATGCTGGTCCTGGGGCTTGTACTCAGGACCTGAGCACCATCCCTGAGGCTTTTTGCTTAAGGTTAGCATTCTATCACTTGAGACAAAGTTCTACTTTCAGCTTTTTGGTTTTGAGATGAGTCTCATGAACTTTCCTGTCTGGGCTGGCTTTGAACCATGATCTTCAGGTCTCAGCCACCTGAGTAGCTAGGATTTCAGGTTTGAGCTACCAATGCCTGGCTCATAGGCATGTTTTTTTTAAGAAATTAAATATTAATATCACCAAATATAACATTCCAAAAAATCTTGGTAACTCCAGCTACTCAAGAGGCAGAGAATAGGAAGATAGTCAACCTGAGCCAAAAGTTATTCAAACCCTCATCTCAACCATAAAAGGTGGATCTGGTTGTACATGCATATCAGTCCAGCTCTACTGGAGATATAAATAGGAGGATCATGGTTCAGGCTTTCCCAGACTCAAGAACATATTAGACAAAATAAAGCAGAAAGATCTGGGGGCATTGCTCCAGTGCCTGTTTACCAATTTGGTCTTTTTGTTGTTGGTGGTCATGGGGCTTGAACTCAGGACCTGGCACTATCCCTGAGCATTTTTGCTCAAGGCTAGCACTCTACCACTTTGAGTCACAGCTCCACTTCTAGTTTTCTAGTGGTTAATTGGAGATAAGAGTCTTACTGAGGGCTGGGAAGGTGACTTAGTGGTAGAGTGCTTGCCTAGCATGCATGAAGCTCTGGGTTCGATTCCTCAGTACCACATACACAGAAAAGCCAGAAGTCGCAGAAGTAGTGCTATGGCTCAAATTAGTAGAGTGCTAGCCTTGAGTAAAAGAAGTTCAGGAACAGTGCTCAAGCCCTGACTTCAAGCCCAGGGACTGGGGGGGGGGGGGGAAGTTTCACTGATTTTCCTTTCCTGAGCACACTTTGACTATGATCCTCAGATCTCAGCCTCCTGAGTAGGATTACAGGTGTGAGCCACCAGTACCCAGCTGCAATTTGGTCTTGTAACCTTAGTTCTACTAAGGGAAAAAAAAATCCTGTTAATGATTAATTATGTAAGTATGAACACTTGAAATTTTTGGTTATAATTCCTGAATTATAATTTCCTGAATAAAACCAATCACAATAGAATCTTGTTTTTCCAGTGGTTGACTATGTGTTTTGGAACAGGAAAAACATTATTTTCCGTCTGGGGATTCAGCTCAGTGGTAGTGTGTTTTTCATGTGTACATGGCCCAGCATACATTAGTTAAAGCAGGGAAGGTTTCACATGTATACAATGTATTTCAGTCTACCTTATACCTTGGTCCCCAGTACTGCAAATATATATCTGTGTATATGTGTGTATATATAAATATACATATATTTATGTGTGTGTATATATATACACTTATATAGTTTTTCATAAACTTTGACTAGTACGATATATAAAGCTATTAAACTATACCTTCAAAATTAAATTTATTGTTAAAATTTGATTTTCAGACTAAATTTCAGAAGCTATGAACAAAAAGAAAAAGAAAGTCAGGTGCTGGTGGCTCACACCTGTAATCCTAGCTACTCAAGAGGCTGAGACCTGAGGATTACAGTTCAAAGCCAGCCCAGGCAGGAAAGGCTGTGAGACTCTTATCCTATTATCTCCAATAAACCACCAAAAAACTGGAAGTGGTTCTGTGGCTCAAGTGGTAGAGTGCTTTCCTTGAGCTGAAGAGTTTAGGGACAGCGCCCAGGCCCAAAGTTCAAGCCCCAAGACTGACAAAACAAAAGAAGGAAAAAAGAAAAAAATGTTGCTTTAAATCTCACTGTGATTTCAATGATTTTAAAGAAAAATAACAGTCTTTTGGTAACTTTATATTCAAATGATGATTCATAATATTTTTTAAACTTGAAAATATACAAACATTCCTTTATAAAATTTTGAAAAGAAAAAAATTCTTACCTAGTGTGTTGACTGTGTACTTATGACAATCTAAAATTAATTTACTCAGATTGTGAATTGTGGTAATGTTTTACTTTCTTCTCTTATCGGTGCATTGATGACCTTATTATTCTTAGTCCTAATAAACTGTGATAATCCAATATTTTAAGTATGTTTAGCGCTTGTCTTTTAACAGTTTGAAGTTTTATTTTATTTTTTCAGTTGTGGAGCTTGAACTCTGGGCTAGGACGCTGTCCTTGAACTCTTCAGATTAAGGGGAGCGCTCTACTGCTGGAGCCACAGAACCACTTCCGGTTTTCTAGTGGTTTACTGGAGATAAGAGTCTCATGGACTTTCCTGCCCCAGGCTGGCTTTGAACTGCGATCCTCAGATCTCAGCCTCCTGAGTAGCTACATTTACAGGCGTGAGCCACTGGCGCCTGGCTTGAGGTTTTATTATAAACATTATCTGTATGTGTGCTGGTGGGAATGGAATCCAAAGCCTCCACAGTGTGCTAAGCTAGGTGTTCTACCACTGAGTATACCCAGGAGCCCCCTCCCCTAAATACGTATTGATAATATAGATATACACAGAACAACAGGTCTTTTTTTCAGGAGAGGGGAGAATAAAAACAATTCCAATTAACACCAACTCAACTTATTTCATTATTGCAATCAACAGTTTTGATCATAGATTCTATTACAAACTATTTACATAGTGATGTCCCAGACCACAGCTTTCCACATATTTGACTTTTTTTGTTCTGTTCCAATACTGGGGCTTGAATTCAGGACCTACACAGTGTTCCTTAGCTTTATTGCTCAAGGCTGGCACTTTACCACTTACTTGAGCCACAGCTCCACTTCTGGCTTTTTGGTGGTTAATTGGAAATAAGAGAGTCTCATGGACTTTCCTGCCTGGGCTAGGTTCCAATCGCTATCCCCAGATCTCAGTCTCCTGTGTAGCTAGGATTATAGGTATGAGCCATGGGCACCCAGCTAAAACTTCAAGTTTTAATTAAAAAAAATATATTTGAAAACATTCTCAATGTTAACTCCATCTTTTTTTCTTTTTTCTTTTGGTCCTTCTATTAAGAACTTTTAGGAAGGATCAGGCTTTAGGTTTGTCATACCCAATGACAAAAATAGCCGGAATTTCTAACCCAGAATTTAAAAAAAATACTTTTGTAACTAGAAATTTGAAAATATAAAATGAATGAAATAAAAATTACCTGAAGCCTAAGGTGCTTTGCAGCGTATCACAAGCTAACATTGCACAAGGTGACTACTCCAAGTTTCTTTTCCCAACTAGGTGCACCTCTTGACACACCCCACTGAACACATCTGCTTATGCAAGCAACTCTGCCCAGACATACCTTAAAAATATCACGGGCTACAGAATCCCTTGTTTCCTAAAACAGTTACTTATAAACTATTTCTTTCCAGTCCTTCTATTCCTCAACCTAAGAGTAACACAGAGTTTAAAAATAATCATCACGAAGCCTAGCCAGTTGGCACTTGTGATATTTGTGGAGATGTGTCGTGTGAGCATCTGATTCTAGCAACCAACAGTTTAGACAAAATACTTGGCCTTTTACAACGCAAAAAAAAAAAAAAATTTGCTGAAGACCGGTCGAGATCTTTTCTAAAGAAGGTCATGGAAGCTTTTTAAAGGACGATACTTACTGCTTCTTCAACTCCTTTTCACATAGACAGAGCCAAAGGTTTTCAACTTGGAAACACATGCATCTCGTTGGCAGGTCAAAAAGACGCTGACTGGCAAACTGGCAGCTCCCCTGGGTTGAGATTTCCTCTGCGGATCAGTGACAGGTCCTAGAAGCAGCAGGCAGGGCGGCAGATGGGCCACGGCCCTCCCTTGGCAAACTCACTATTCCGGGGACCAGGGGCCGCATGCTGTTGTCGTCAAGGCAACGGCCTCACTCGGTTCCCCAGCCACGGGTACGGTCCCCAGAGAGAGATGTGGTCCGAGCCAGAACGCGTGCAACGGCAGTCCCGAGCAGCACCACCTGTCCAGGCCAAGACCGGGGAGAAATTAGCTGGGCGGAGAGTACACCGCCTCCCTGCTCCGAAGCCGCCCGGTGCGTGGAGCCTGGGAGCCGCACGCCTCCAGCTAGCTGGGCGGGGGCGAAGGCGTTGGCCCGAACTGCAAGGGGGCGGGTTCTCACCCGCCAGGTCCCGCCCCTCGCAGGCGCACCGGGCCTCCCTTGTTCTGATTGGCTGGTCCCTGTCGTCAGGCGCCATAATTGGCTTATCGCCAAACGCCCCGCCCCTTTACCTGGGCCTGGACCCAGGTTCTGTCAGCCGCCGCTCAGACCTCTGCTTCTCCGCCCACCCTCCCAACGTTCTCAAGTTAGAAGCGACCTCTGCCCCAGTCTGTGTGCAGATGGCGACTCAGGTGGCCTGGGCAGAGGTAAGGTGGCGGCGATGGAGGACCAAGAAGACTACGCAAAGGGCGCGATCAAGCGTTTGCCGCCGCTGGCGGCGGGGTGCGGGAACCCGGGAAGCTGGGCCAAGCGCGGTGGGGCACGCTTCCTTCCTTTCCATTCTAGGTGCCGGGACTGATCGGGCCTGGGGGGGGTGGGGGGGGCGGGAACCGAGGTAACTAGGTGAAGCAGCTGACAACCCTGATGTTCACCAGGACCTTTGGGGTAGAAATCAAGAAAGGGGAAGAGAGGGCATAAAGGAACAGGGAACGCACGTGCCGGAATGAGGGTCCAGAATGGGGCTTCCTGAAGCCAGACGGGGTGGAGTTGGGGCTTACTGGATGTAAAGCTTGCCTTACTGGGCTGAAGTCCTGAAGCTTCTGCCTCGCAAACCCTGAGTTCACACACACAAATTTGCAATCCACAACATCTGTGATCGGCCTGACTGGCAAGGCTGACAGTTATCTGGCATAGACTGACGTCTCGGGGCATCTGAGACTGAAACAGCAGTTATTTTCACTTTCATTCAATACCTATACATTTTAGATTTAGTTGCTAAAATACCTTGAGGCAAGAAAGTGTTCTGGACAGCTGACATTTATACCCATTATTTTCTAATAGAAATGATCTGTTAAATGGTTCTTCACAAGTCATTCTCTGCATTGTTTTTGGCTGCCAAAAACAATGTACTTGAGCCCTTTTTCTTGCCTTGCTACCCTCCTCCCTCACAAAACAAACAAAAAAACGGTCACCCGTGGCTCACGCCTGTAATCCTAGCTACTCAGGAGGCTGAGATCAGGGTTCAAAGCCAGCCCAGGCAGGAAAGTCCAATAAACCACCAGAAAACCACAAGTGGCGCTGTGGCTCAAGTTCTTGTGTGCCCAGTTCCTAAGCTCAACCAACACAGTATTCTAGAGATATAGCTCAAGTAGAGTAACAGGGCTGGGAAGGTGGCTCAGTGGTAGAGCGCTTGCCTAGCATGCATGAGGCCCTGGGTTCAACTCCTCAGCACCACACAAGCAGAAAAAGCTGGAAGTGGCGCTGTGGCTCAAGTGGTAGAGCACTAGCCTTGAGCTGAAGAGCTGAGGGGCAGCACCCAGGCCAAGTTCAAGCCCCACGACCGATTTAAAAAAAAAAAAAAGTACCACCAGCTGTAAGCAAGAAAGCTGAACCCTTGAGCTCAGCCTAGGCACCAGCCCGTGCACACACTAATTAAGTAGATTTGAAATGTTACCACTTATTTTGCCAAGTTCAGCATAAACTATGTCCTGACTGCTGGTCAGCAACACATCTACGTTATCACATGGGAATGCATTCCTTGAATATTAAAATTATGTGGTTTTGCACTGCTACCAAGCCTCATAATTTTCCCTCTGGCTTTTACCTCATTCTGGACCAAAACTACACAACTTTTAGAAGATCAAAAGGATACTCCCCAGAACACAAAATGGATGGTCCCTTGGCATATGTATTCAGCCTTTAAAAATAGCTTGTTTTGATGGGAACAAGCCATTAAATGTTTATCAGATTATTTGTTGAGCATCTTTGTTTTGGGCCTGATTTTGATGTTGAGGGGACATGAATGAAAATGGATGGATTAGCGAAGCACTGGTGGCTCACGCCTGTAACCCTAGCTGCTCAGGAGGCTGAGATCTGAGGATCATTGAAGCCATGCCTGGCAGGAAAGTCTGAGACTCTTTTCTAATTAACCCCCAAAAAGCTGGAAGTGGAGCTGTGGCTCAAGTGATAGAGCACTAGACTTGGGCAAAAAAAAACCTTGGGGATGGTGCCCAGGCTCTAGGTTCCAGGCCCAGGTTCCCTTCCGTCCCCCAACAAAAGGGATGGACTAGGCTCTTGGTCTTCCAGAGCTTGTTTACTTGGTAATACTGAAGTAGTTCAAATACTATACAAAGCATTAAAGTAAGATAAAAAGCGGAGCAGCACTTCAGGCAATTGTTCTAAGATGCCCTTTCTGGAATTGATATGCAGGAGTATTCTATCAAGAGTAGGTACTAGCTAAGGCAAAGCCTGTAAAATTAAAAAAAAAAAAAAAAGAGGGCTGGGAATATAGCTTAGTGGTAAACTGCTTCCTTAGCATGCCTGAAGCCCTGGGTTCGATTCCTCAGTACCATATAAAGAGGAAAAGCCAGAGGTGGTGGTTCAAGTGGTAGAGTGCTAGTCTTAAGCAAAAGAAGGTTGGCCTGAGTTCAAGCCCCAGGACTGTTCTCCCTCCTCCCCCCTGAAAAAAAAAATACACAAAAACTTGGAGGTTAAGTAACTGGAGAAGTCACTGGTGTAGGTAGAGTGAACTAAGGAATGGCAAATGTAGTTGTTCATGGAGAGAGAAGAGAAAGGGGCTATATCTGATGAGGTCATTAGCCAGTGGGAAGAGTTGAATATTTGGATTTTCTTTTTTATTAGCATAGGGAACATTTAATAAAATACAATGCCATATTGATAATATGCCAGGTGAAGACAGAAGTAGAAGTGAGAAGCTGGTAATTCAGGACTAGGAAAGAAATCTAGGAAAGAAAAGTGCCATCTGAAGGCCAGCTCCTAAGCTATTGACTAAGCCATTGAGTCTGAGGCTTGGAACTATATTCGTTCAAGTTTAAAACATTTCAAGTACTGGATTAGTCAAGTACTGGTCTACTTTGAAGAGACTGTAAGATGAATCTCAAAGATGAGTTACTTATGGAAACTAGATTTTAAACACCAGAAATCACCAGGAATTTAAACTTGAATGTATTTTTAGCCTGATTTTATTTTTAGAAAATTGTAAAATCACAGCCTCTATCACTAACAGGTCTGAATTTGTGGATCCCCTTTCTCAGAATTTAAGATACATTTAGGAAGCATTACTTAATGCTTTAAATGAGATGGATTTGGAACAAATTAACTGGACTGCTATTGAGTATACTGCAGAAAAAGGGTTGGGTTCTGTCATTGTGCATACATTCCATCTTTTAATCTGATAACCTCATTGGGTGTTAAGAAATGAATTAAAGTTTAGGTTCAAAATTGTCTGACACATAGCTATTCCCAACCTCATTGAAGGCAGCAAATAAGCCACCCACATAAGAAAACTGCTGACTTATTGCATCAAATAATCTGTCACAGATACCTTTGGTAGAAGGTCTTGGTAAGTTGTTATGAACTATCCTAATGATGCCCAAGAGAGGACTGGAGGTAAGAAATGGGACAGGGCTGTCCTAGATGATCAAGATCCATTTATGCCTCTTCAATGATGGGATGACAGAATGCCACCAGACCATACCCAGTTTAATGATGGAGAAGACATACAGGCAATTTTGCCCGAGTTGGCCTCAAACTGAAATCTTCCCCATCTGACTCTCAAGTAGCTGGGATTTACCTATGTAAGCCACCACACCCAATGCTTTGGTCCTTTTCATCTGTCTAAACCTTGTTTAACATATTCTATATTAACTAATATGTGTGTGTGTGTGTGTGTGTGTGTGGCACTTAAAACTCAAGTTGAATGAGAATAACCTTGAATATAGATAATGGAGAAGGGAAACAAAAAAAGATGAGAATAGCAGATGAAACTTCAAACATTGCTAGGCTGATTACATATATCACAGACAAGTTCATTACTAAAGAGGCAGGTATACAACAGGTAAGTTACATAGGAAAAAACTTGAACTTCCTCATTTTACCTAGTGCTTCCAAGGTGATGTAGTCAAAAGACGTTTGTAAAACAGGATACACTGAAATACAATTGTCAGTAACAGCTCTAACAGACATGCTTCTCATTTTACAGATGAGGAAAGAGGCACAGAAAAGGATTCACCACTAAATGAGGCTGCCATTCAAACCCATTGAAAGCTGTGCTCTTGACCATATCTTGCGACATATTAAAGGAACAATATATTGAAGTCTCCTAAGGAGTTTGTGGGGAAACTCCTTAAGTGTTAGGGTATGGAGGGTGGCAAAAAATAAATAATATTGAACTTCTCTTTTGTGAATGTACTTCAAGAAAACAAGAGCCTTTTAACAAAATTCTAGAATCAAGAGATCAGCTAAAGGGCTGGGAAGCTGGCTCAGTGGTAGAGCACTTGCCTTGCATGCTCAAGGCCCTGGGTTCGATTCCTCAGCACCACATAAGCAAAAAGAAAAAAGCCGGAAGTGGCGCTGTGGCTCAAGTGGTAGAGCGCTAGCCTTGAGCTGAAGAGCTGAGGGACAGCGCCCAGGCCCAGAGTTCAGGCCCCACGACCGGACCCAAAAAAAAAAAAAAAAAAGAGATAAAGTGGCGCTGTAGCTCAAGTGGTAGAGCGCTCGCCTTGAGTTGAAGAGCTGAGGGACAACGCCCAGGCCCAGAGTTCAAGCCCCACTACCGACAAAAAAAAAAAAAAAATAGATCAGCTAATGTGGCAATTTACAGAATTTGTCTATGGATATTTCAACTTGCACTTGTATTATTCTCTCAAGCACTGAGAAATCAGAATGCTGCTTTTAACAAATTTCAAATAGGGTGCTTGGGGTTTATACCTATAATCCTAACTACTCATGAGGCTGAGATCAAAAACCCAGAAACAGAGCTACAGGCTCAAGTGGTGGGGCACCAATCTTTAGCAAAAAACCCAAGCAAACGTTTGACACTGAGTTCAAGCTCCAATACAGGCACACAAGACATCCCCTCACAAAATCCTTAAACAAATTTAACTTGCTTGAATCTTGATCTGTTTTCACTAGTCTAGGACATATATTTTAACCTCTGTAACAAAGTATTTTTCCACAGCCATGAAGTTTTAAGATATTCCATTGCAATTGAGCTTAATATACATCTACAAAATGTGTTAGTTCCTTAATATTATTCAATGGTTGCTGGTGGCTCATGCCTTTAAGTCCTAGCTACTCAGGAGGCTGAGATCTGAGTGTCACAATTTCCAGTCAGCCCAGGTAGGTCAAGTCCTTGAGACTAGTTATTTACAATTAACCACCAAAGAACCCAGAAGCTCCAATTTCTCTCCCAAGACAGACAAACCGGTAATGATTAATTTAGGAATCTTATCACAAAATGTTTAATTTTTTTGTGTGTGTGCCAGTGCTGGGGCTTGAACTAGGGACAAGGGGTTGTCTTTGAGTGCAAACTTTTTCTCCCCAGGCTGGCTTCAAATTGTGGTCTTGTCCTTAGATCTTAGCCTCCTGAGTAGTTAGGATTACAGGTGTGAGCCACCAGTGCCCAGCTCTTTTAGTATTATTATAATGCATGATAAATTTGGTTTTTCCTAATCCATAATTTCATATAATCTCAATCTTTACATGTTTTTTGTTCCTTCTGAGATAATAACCCCTTACAAAACTCAGGGTCTGGGCCTGTAATACCAGAATTTAAGGCAAAGGCAGGAGGATCCCAAGTTCAAAGCCAGCCTAGGTAGTACAGTGTAAGACCTTGTCTTGAAAACAAAACAACCAATTTCCTCTACTTCCCAAACCTCCACAATTTAGAGGTATGTTTTAGATCACTCTCCACCCTTACAATGTCCTCTTCTAACTTTATTTACCTGATAAATCAGCTATCTTCCGGTCCTGAAAATGATCTCTATAACTGTTTGTTACTCTAATGTTTTGCTTTGTAAAACTAATGTCACAATTATATATATATAAATTTGGGGGAGGAGGGTCAGTTGAGGGGCTTGAACTCTGGGCCTGGGCGCTGTCCTTCACCTCTTCAGCTCAAAGGTGAGTGCTCTACCATTTGAGACACAGCACCACTTACAATTTCCTGGTGATTTATTGGCGATAAGAGTCTCACAGACTTTTCCTGCCCAGGCTGGCTTTGAACCGAGATCCTCAGATCTCAGTCTTCTGAATAGCTAGGATTACAGGCGTGAACCACTGATGCCCAGCTACAAGTAATATTTTTATCAGGCTGTATAAAATGCAACAGGGAAAAAAAGTTTGGGAACAAAACTACATTAAATTAGGGACATAGATAAATGCTGCAGACATCAGTAGTTTATTGTTTAGTCCAAACACATTCAAAATGGAAACTCAAAAGAATATTTTCCACCTGGAACAAACTAGATTCTACTAGCATATAATGCTTAACACATTACAGCAATAAAGATGGTAATCCATTGTCTTCTATACCTACTAAAGCCAAGATGGTAAAGCCAATTTGGTTGCAATAGTGTTGTAAGGATAGAATATTACCATCAAAACATAAAATAAAATCAGCAATTAACAGTAAATGGTGAATGAACATTTTACTGTTTCACTAAAAAGGGGACAAAATGTTAAAAGTCCACAGTACTGCAGGTGAGCAATCACCATGTAAACTTCTCCATACAATGTTTTAAATGTTTCATTTGTGGTATTGTAAGACTGAAGCTGAATGGCTCTTTGCTCTAATTCTCTATTACACTTAACATTTGTCATTTCTTTTGGTGCCAGACAATTTTCATGGGTTACAGGGCAATATCCTGGATTGGAAATGTGTACGTGTGTGCATGTTTGTGGGCACTTACACATACATACACATGGAGAGCATATATATATATATATATATATATATATATATATATATATATATATATATAGTGAGAATAGAGGAAATACACATTTGGGGACCAAGGGGGAAACACTGACAATAAAACCACTTCTTTAAAAGTAGTTTGGCTAAAAGCTTCAATTCCAAAGTAATTTTCTAGTAAGAACTTCAAGTACTATACATCAGAAAATGTAAAACTGTTTCAAACAAACAAACAAATAAAAAATCCAACCCCCATGAAAACTACAAAAATCTGTGTCCCCAAAATATATGCAATAGTGCAAGACTTTTCCTCAGACATGGAAGACCTCATTTGAGAGGAACGAGAAAACAAGTAAGATTTAGTTTTACTCATACTGCCCAGTTCATAATAAAGAAAATACATGAGTCATTTGCTAGTTTACTAAATAGCAAACAGTTGCATAATTCCAAACCAATTTGCTACTATTGTGTCAAGCACATATTTTGCTTGTTTTTACTAAGATTAGAATGGAGAAGTCTTCCATGCTAACAAGCAGCTTTAAGTGGTCACACTTACTTATCCCACTTCTTGCCAAAACATCAGAACCTGGTATGTTACTGATTGCTCCAAGTACAGAACTGAATAAACTCTGCCATACTTGTGGGTTTACTGGTTCATGTTATAAAGACAGACAACAATCCAGCAGCTACAAACTTTGCTCACAGAATTGTTTAAAGATTCATGTATAAAATAAAAAAGTTGTCTTCCCAGACTTAAATTCAGGAGCCACTCAGGTGCTGACATCAGTTCAAGAATTGTGCAAAATGAATGACAGTTCCCTGCCCCCCCCACATAAAAAATGCAAACACTTAAGAGCTGCCTTTCTTTCTTCTGAAAATTGCAGTATCCTTACTTCAGGTTTACTTGCCATTTATAGAATCTCAAATGCTTTTAAAAATGTCACTAAAAATGTACATCAAGTTGATGACTTTTCCAAGCACATTCACAGGTACCAAGAGGAAAGTCAACTGGAGACTTAAGTACCTGACTTCCTCCTTCCCTCTGCTTCCCAAACACACAAGACTCCCGCCCACAGAAAATACAAAAGTTGTTAACTGAAGAACAAGATAAATAATTGGCCTCGATTTTACTGATTTTAACGATACTGCAATTTTTATACATTCCAATGATTTTTTTCAACATTTTGCAGCTGTTTGGCTTTGCAGCACAGCAATCATAAACTATACTGTACAAAATTACCAGCAAGACTGGAATGATGTATTAATAGAAGGCACCATCATGCTTATTACATTACCAGAGAACAAAAATACAGGAAAGACAATTTTCACTGTACACAGCTTAAAGGAAAAGGGGGAGGAGGAGTATGTTGAGGAGCCAGCCATCCCTGTACTGAAGAGGGGCAGGTAGAAAACTCTTTTAAGATTTGGAGCTACGAAATCTGGTCTAATGTTCAAGACCATAGCATTTGAAGTTCTGATTTTTGTTATTTAGTTCATAACTAAATGATTTCCTTCTGGAATATAATTGTAGTCTTGTTAAGGTATATGTGTACACACGCTGGTTGCACAGCAAGCAGATAAAATGCCCTCATCTTTCACAACTATTCTCTACTCAAAAAGATGAAGAAAGATTTTTTTCCCTGTTGCCTCCTGTTGCAGATGTCAATGTGAATGAGTTCAGAGTACCCAATAGTGCATTTTGATGAGTGCATAACAAGTTTCTGTTGGTTTGTATTTTGGGGGGAAGCCAAGAAAAAAGGCAAGGTTCTCCAATTGCACAAATTGCACTATTTGTGTTTCCAACATTAATAGGCAGAAACAGTAACACTTAAACAAAATGTGCAGCAGAGAATATTTTTACACTCAAAGGACCTGAATTCAGTGGGCATGTCCTTTTAAGTTCATTTTGTTGTAGACACTTTAAGATATGGTCATTTCTCAGTCCTTAATTCTTCAAGTCTAGATTTATAAATTAACAGTGTGAATCCTGTTGTGAAATTGGGGAAATAATGTCCACCTCAATTTAACTGATAACCAAAGATGCTTTTCACATCAAAGAAATGATCAAAAAGGCTGTGTCACATTCCAAAGCCAAAAAAAATTAACAAGAATGCAAACACGATGAGTAATGTACCACTGCCAAGACTTTGCCAACAGTGGAGCTTCAACGACGCTGTCCTGTGAAGCGGCCTTCCATTTGCCCAGCTCCTCTTCCAGAGCCAAGTTTCTGTGCCATGCCACCTCTTGGAGGTGGTCCTCTTCCATCACGATCTCGCATCATTCCACCACCCACAATTCCACGTGGACCACCAGGACCTCGATCACTGCGCCTAATATCTCTGCGATCGTCACCACCACCTCTGGTTTCTCGTTCTCTTGCAGCCCTTGTTTTCTTCTCTTCCACATTCAAACGTACCTCTCCTCGAAACATAATTGGCTTTAAAAGAAAAATATCAACATAAACAGTTAGAAAACCTTAAGAAATAAGAACGTTTTGATGAATCTCTTACTGTTATCTTTCCAACCTTCAACACAAATAAAATTTAAAATGATCCATACTTGACTTTTAATATTAGTAAATCTTTATTCTTTGCATAAATACCATTCCCCTCCACAATGAACTATTTTTAGCTTTACCACTAAAAAAAATTTTCTATGGTTTTTAAAAATGCACTATTATTATTATATACAACAGAAATAGTAAGGTCTTTGATTTATGCCCTTTACATCACTTACTTTTGCAATTAAGATTCTCTGAACTGGTTCAGAGTCATCAAAAACCACAAAACCAAAATTTGGAAGCTTTCCCCCAACACCCTTGGTATTGATGCGAAGTTCCACAACGTTTCCAAAACCTGTGAAAATATACATTACACCAAGTGTTAAATATTTTAACAAAGAACTCTGATGACTTTAATTGTTCAGAATGAATAACTTTAATGTCCTGGATCCATTTGAAAACAAAGTTGTGAACTGCTACATCCAGTAACAATATACATTAACTTATGTAGGCCACCACCTCAGAAATCAAGCAACTGAACAGAATATTTGTTTTGCTTTCATTATGTTTTTGGTTAGTTGTGGGGCTTGAACTCTGGGCCTGGGTGCTGTCCCTGAGCTCTTCCTAGAGCTGTATCATTTAAGCTACAGTGTCACTTCTGGTTTTCTGGTGGTTAATTGGAGATAAGAGTCTCACAGCCTTTCCTTCCCGGGCTGGCTTTGAACCGTGATCCTCTGATCTCAGCCTCCTGAGAAGCTAGGATTACAGGCGTGAGCCACCAGTGCCAGGCTATCTTTCATTATATTAATCCCTACCTAAAAGGAAGTTACCTGCCAAGTTTTAGAAAGACAACTTATCTCCATCTAATCTTCAGTTCTATTTGCCAAAGTAGTCCTATTCCCCAGTTTAAGACTGATTCATCCAGCCTTTTACAGAAATCTCTCCTGAACTAGATTAGGCCAACATTGGGAAATAATTGTCATTTATTTCCTTCTGACCAATTAAAGTGGGACTGGTAGAGCACAGAAATAAAGAGATAAACATTTTTAAAAATTGGTTCTATGCTACTCCTGCTTAATACAAGATAAATTTTAAAGCTTCATATAAAAATAAACCACTTACTCATAAAAAATTCTTTCAGTTCATTTTCATCAATATCATGTGGCAAGTTACCAACAAAAAGTTGATGACTGTCTGGGTAGCGGATTATTCTACGGTTGTCCGAGTCGTTCTGCTCCATATCTCCTCTGCCTGAGAACAGGAATAAATAACACCATATAAAAAACAATTCAAAGCTGAACTCACCAATCTGAACAGAGGGGCAGGGCTTGATGCATTAGGGAATAGTCTGCCTATATGCTTGCCAGATGTTTGGCTGATGGTGGAGCACTCTTTTGCAAAATTTTGCCTTGCTAAGACAAAAAAATAATTCAAAGTAATGAATGGTAAAAAAAAAAAAAATACTGATATGTTTTAGTTTAATAAGGACAGATGAACTGGAAGTGGCTAGTAGGTTGTCAAAAAATAAGGCTGTGTTGGGCTGGGAAGGTGGCTCAGTGGTAGAGCGCTTGCCTTGCATGCATGAGGCCTGGGTTCGATTCCCTAGCACCACATAAGATAAAAAGCCGGAAGAGGCGCTGTGGCTCAAGTGGTAGTGCGCTATCCTTGAGCTGAAGAGCTGAGGGACAGCACCCAGGCCCAGAGTTCAGGCCTCACGACCGGACCCCAAAAAAACAACAACAACAAAAAAAATAAGGCTGTGGTCTCTTCTGGACCTGTCTTATAAAAGTCGGTATAGGCTGGGCGCCAGTGGCTCACGCTTATAATCCTACCTACTCAGGAGGCTTGAGATCTGAGGATCACAATTCAAAGCCAGCCTGGGCAGGAAAGTCTGTGAGACTCTGATCTCCAATAAACCACTAAAAAACCAGAAGTGGCGCTGTGGCTCAAGAGGTAGAACACTCGCCTTGAGCTGAAGAGCGCAAGGACAGCACCCAAGCCCAGAGTTCAATTCCCATGACCGACAAAAAAATAAATAATTAAAAGTCGGTATAGGTAACCCTCCTTACCCAAACTGCTACCATCATCCAGGTGCCAAGTAGACTTTAACTACTAAATATTTGTTTAGCCTTTTGAAACTCAAAAACTAGATTATCTTTTTTACTATAACCAATCAGACAAACCAGCAAATTTAACAGTACCAATCTCATGTTGTAGTTTTTAGGATACACTCACATATGAATGTTACTGATTCTCCTCCAAAACACAGGCAGCAGGGCTGGGAAGGTGGCTCAGTGGTAGAGCGCTTGCCTTGCAATGCATGAGGCCCTGGGTTCGATTCCCCAGCACCACATAAGCAAAAAGAAAAAAAAGCCGGAAGTGGCGCTGTGGCTCAAGTGGTAGAGCGCTAGCCTTGAGCTGAAGAGCTGAGGGACTGCACCCAGGCCCAGAGTTCAGGCCCCACAACCGGGCCCCCTCCAAAAAAAAAAAACACAGGCAGCTGTAAGATAGGCACCACATAAAAAAAGTTTTCTATTACTGAATGGCATACAAGGTCTTACACAGGATCACAAACACAGTCAGTGGCAAAGCTAGAAAAGAATTCCAGCTTCTGTGACTTCTAGCTTAGAAAAACTGAAATTTGTTGTATATTACTTCCCATATCCTTTTTTTTTTTTTTTGGTAGGTCATGGGGCTTGAACTCTGGGCCTGGGCACTCTCCCTGCGCTCTTCAACTCAAGGCAAGTGTTCTACCTCTTGAGCCACAGTGCCACTTTCGGTTTTCTAGTTTTTTATTAGAGATAAGAGTCTCATGGACTTTCCTGCCCAGGCTTGCTTTGAACTGTGATCCTCAGATCTCAGCCTCCTGAGTAGCTAGGATTACAGGCATGAGCCACCAGCACCCCGCTCCCATATCCTCTTGAAAGCAATTTGAACAGAATTCAAGTGAAAGTACTCCATAAATTAGCTTAACAATGTAAGTCAACTTAATACTGTGGCGACTTAATGCATAAGATCAAAATAAGAAAGGTCTGCCAGGAGCCAGTGGCTCACATCTGTAATCCTAGCTACTCAGGATCACAGTTCAAAGCCAACCAAGGCAGGAAAGTCCTCCTTGAGACTCTTGTCTTCAATTGACCACCAGAAAGCTACAAGTGGTATTGTGGTTCAAGTGGTCTAGAGTGCTAGCCTGAGCAAAAGAGCTCAGGGAAAGTGCGTAGGCCCTGAGTTCAAACTCCAAGACCAACCAAAAGAAGGGGGGGGGGGGAGGAGATCTTATCTGTAAAAAGAATACTATGTAGGTTATAGACAGCTCAGACTTAGAACTAGTGACAATAACCAAATAAAATGTCTCCATCTTTTATGCCTTTAAAATACATGTCAATATGGCACATCAACAAATCTGCTGATGCAGCTGTTCTGCTCCATACTGTCTTTTTAGCATGTTGCTCACATCTCTTAAACATTTGAAGATGCTGCAAAGATCTGTTTATAAACCAATATAGTTTTGTGAAGTTTAGTCTCTTCCAATTTTCCAAGTGCTAAATGCTAAAAGCTTATAAAGGAGCTACCAACTCACCTGGTCTTGGTCCTCTAGGAGGGAAACCAGGTCGCTCCCTAGGCCGCTGTTCACGGACTCGTGGTGGCTGAGATTGAACTTCTGGTTTTGCTTCAACTCTTGGCTAGAATATAAGGGGAAAAGCACATTATAAAACATTCTACAGAAGAAAAAAAAAATGACTATCAGCAAGTCATTAGGGATAACAAATTTTAAGTTTACAATGTTTCTTAACAAAATTCTATATATGTGAATTTTTAAAAATATTCTGTACCAATATAGGACTGTAGGGTAGGTTTTATTTTCCCATTAAAGGCTCTATAATTCACTATAAACTGCTCTTAATAATCTCATTTTCATTAAAGTTGCACCTACAGTGAAATAGCATAAAAGGTATTGCTACAAAAGAAAAAAACCACAAAAATGCAAGATGAGCCACTGCACATAAACAAAATTAAAAACTATCTTAGAAAAAAAAAGAATACAAGACACATAATTTCTAGTTTGTTGTCCTTCAGATGTTATGTGCTCAGTTTTATCTCCTAACCCAACCCCATAATCTCAAAATTATTATCTTAATAATTCGAAGTATATAAGAGTATTCTACCTCTAGGTTTGAAAGCATATAAAGTGAAGTTCCTATCAAATAGTTGAGAAAATCCTTTAAATTCCTATTATTTCTACTTACATTTTCTACTTACAAGAAAGATGTACATTTATTTAAAGTATTGACCCCAACAATTTTCCTTAACTGTGAGCAGGTAGATGAGAATAACTGAATAGTTTTGTCTTCCAAACTGTACTAATACAACACATAATTACTTTCAAACAAAATATTATTATGTATGTCTGCTAATATGTTATTCTTTAGTAAAGCAGTATTTTCAGTGTTTCCAACCTTTCCAGGCTTCTAATAAGACAAAATGAATGAATCAATCTTAAATGATTGGGAGAGGTGGGAGGACAGACAACAGTAGGACACAGAGAACATGTCCTCAAAGGAAAGAGCTAGTAAATCTATTTCTCTTTGTGTTTGTCTGTGTGCGCATGAGCACGCACACACACACTCGGCACTCACACACATGTAAACCAGTAAAAAGGCTTGAACTTGGGCCTGGTGCTATAGCCCTGAACTTGTTTGTTCCAGACTAGCTTTCTATCACTTGAGCCACCACTTTACTTTTGGCTTTTTGGTGATTAACTGGAGATAAGGATCTCAAGGATTTCCCTGCCCAGGCTGGCTGCAATCTCAATCTTCAAATTTCAGTCTCCAGGGTAGCTAGGCTATATTATAGGCATGACCCACCAGCACCCAGCAGTAAACTTAGTCTTTACAAGTAATAAATCATCTCTAAAAGGTTTAATGGCTCAAACTCATTAATTACTAATATAGCTGAGATATTTTAACTTATAAGAATAAATATGGACCAAAAAATTATAGGTCCTTAAAAAAACAAAACCATTTATTGTCAACAATTTCAGCCATTGTAACCTAAAATCTATCAAATGTTCAATGTTATACTTGCAGTTTAACAAAATTGCCTGCAATATAAATGTCCCATCTCACTTAAGATGAAATTGTTTCCCATGTCATAGAATTCTGCTAGTTTATTGTTTTTGTTTTTGGGTCCAGTCGTGGGGCTTGAACTCTGGACCTGGGCGTTGTCCCTCAGCTCTTCAGCTCAAGGCTAGCACTCTACCACTTGAGTCACAGCACCACTTCCGGCTTTTTTTCTTTTTGCTTATATGGTGCTGGGGAATTGAACCCAGGGCTTCATGCATGCAAGGCAAGCACTCAACCACTGAGCCACCATCCCAGCCCGAATTCTGCTAGTTTAAAAATGAATTTTTCCCAGCACTGGTGGCTCACACCTGTAATCCTAACCTATAATCTCTGGAGGCTGAGATCTGAGGATTGCAGTTCAAAGCCCTGGGGAGTGGGGGGTGGGGGCAGATCCTATGAGCTTTCCTATTGAGCAAAAACCTCAGGGACAGGGCAGGACTCAGGCCCTATGTTCAAGTCCCAGTACTGGCAACTACCCTCCCCCTCCCCAAAAAAATACATGAACACATATACAGATATGTAGTATATTATTTAGATGAACCCATACATATGTAATTTAAAAGAACAAAAAAAACTGCTGAATATGTATGTCTAAGAGCACAGTTTCTTTGGCTGATGCAAAAAGGAACAGGGTTTTTATAGGAATGTACACAAATATCAGACTACCTTTTTTGTTTGTGGTGTATATGCATGCCCTAGTACTGGGGCTTCAGATCAGAGCCTCACTCTTTCCCTCAGCATTTTTACTTGTGGCTAGCTCCACACCACTTCCAGTTTCAACTTTTTGCTGATTAATAGGAGATAGCTATTTCATAGTTTTGTCTTTCTGGGCTGGCTTTGAACTGTGTTCCTCAGATCTCAGTCTCCTAGGTAGGATTATAGGCATGAACCTGTGGTGCCTAAACCTCCCCGCCTTGAGGGTGTCTGTCATAGGGCTTGAACTAAGGGCCTGGGTGCTATCTGTAAGTTCTTTCACTTAAAGTTAGTACTCTACCACTTTAAACCAGAGAGCCATTTCCAGTTTTCTGAGTAGCTAGGATTACAGGTATGCACCCTGGCACTCAGCAAATTTTTATTAGTTTTCTGAGCCAAAACATGTAGGAGAATATTGTCTGAAAGGAGACCTAATGATAACCCCTAGGCCTCTGCTATATGAATTTGAAGGTTGATGCTACAGAATTGACCCAAAAGTTGATACCTTTTGAGAATGGCAATTATTTAGAAATTTTAAATAAGTCTAAAAGTGTACTATACTTCAACAAGAAAATGAATAGAAGCACTATTACACAGATTAATAAAGCTAGTATATTATGTGACTGTGACACCTCTGTACATCACCTTTATAATAACAATTTAAAAATTAAAAATAAAGCTAGTACATAACTGGGAATTTTTTATATTGCAACTATAACTTATACTTTAAAATTAAAAAAAAAACCCTTAGAACCAACTCAAATTTTAACAAAGAACATGAGGGACCTGATCTTGACAAATTTATGTTCTTTTTTTGGGGGGGTGGAGGTCAGTTGTGGGGCTAGAACTCTGGGCCTGAGCACAGTCCCTGAGATCTTCAGCTCAAGGCGAGAGCTCTACCACTGGAGCCTCAGTGCTCCAGTTTGCTGGTGGTTAACTGGAGAAGAGGTCTCAGACTTTCCTGCCTGGGCTGGTGGTGAATTGCGATCCTCAGATCTGAGCCTCCTGAATAGCTAGGATTACAGGCATGAACCCTGGCTCAAATTTATATTCTTTACAGAACAATTATCAAAATAAACTATAAATAATGGAAGTCTCTTAAGTCTTAAGAATTCACAATCAGATAAAGAATTTCCAACACCTTACAAATAATTCATAACATTCTTTAGAAACCTGACTTTTCTAAGTATGATGATGCCACTACATAAAAAATGTAAGACCAAAAAGCTATCAATGTTTCCTTCACTAACTGGTAAAAGTCCACTAAGCCAGGCCCAATGACTCACAGTTTTCTAAACAAATTAAAATTAATTCGTCTAACCAGCAAGTATATTTTAACCTCATGACATATCCCACAAATGAATGTCAAACAGAATATGAAGTAAAAATGAAACTTTCAAAGTAATAGTAATAAAAGCAGGTAAACAAATTACGAACAAATCTCTCAATAAACAAGCTATTTAAAAATGAGCTCATTTCCAGACAAAAACTACTTTATTAAGAAATAACTTACCTACATCTACATTAAAGCCTACCAATAACCTAGAATTAGAATCTTGTTTAAATAAATAACCTATTAATGTGTAAGGAAACAAATGCTTTTCAAAAGTTAGCAAAATAAACTCAAAAGAGTTATTCAACCAAGTAGAAATACCACGAATTTATTCTAAATACAATAAAGAGATCAGAAAGTTCCTTGAAAGTTTACTATAAAGATTTTAAATTTCATTTTCTTAAGGAATGGAGTGGGGTATACAAACTACTTTCCTAGAATTTTAAAAGTAACTCAAAAAATACTTGTAACTTAAGATACAAATAGTTATTTTCCCAGATAAGAGGCTACTTAATGTATAGCTTAGTCATGCATTTAATGTAGTACATTTTTTGATGTTGACTAAATACAGGTAGACATATATATTACCCTCCACCAAACACTAAAGAAATGTGTAGGTTTGCACTCAGAAGTCTTCTATATAACTATATAAATGCAAAAGCCAGATCTATATTTTGACAGTCTGATCATGAATGAGTTATTCTAGGCCTCAATCTTCCTATCTCTCTCTCTCTTTTTTTTTTTTGCTTATGTGGTGCTGAGGAATCAAACCCAGGGCCTCATGCATGCAAGGCAAGCGCTCTACCACTGAGCCACCTTCCCAGCCCTATCAATCTTCCTATCTCTAAAAGGAATATTAACAGTCTCCCCAGGAACTCACACAGGGTGGTTTTTAAGGAACCAATGAGAATGACTATCAGTATGTAGGCACAATGCCTGGCACACAAAAGGCTTAATAACCATTAGCTATTTAACTTTTTAAAATAAATGCCATCTATTTTTTTTAATGAAATAGCAATCTAAAACTGATAGGAAATCAAGATTTCAAAAGAAAAGCCATGAAAGTCAGTAATCATGTCTCTGGATAGTTGAAAAGCACTAATGACACTACACAAGCAAATTTTCTTCATTAAAATGAAACTAGTTTGTAATCTAAGGTAATCACACTCATTAAAATACCTGACAAAAACAGGCATTATGATACCATGCACTCTGTTCTGATTATAATATATACAATAACCAGGACTCTATGTAGTAATTACTTTTGAAACCTCAATGTTTACTAGTTTCAGAGCATGCAAAAGATGTATTCACTACCATATTAAGTGTAAATTTAAATGAAATGAAGTTTAACTCAAAAGGTAGAGAAAAAGTATTGGATACCCTTTATGCCAAGAAACTCACTTAAAATTTAATCTAAACTATATCTAGCATTGTAAATAGCCAGTGCCATATTTTCACATTCTTGGAAAGCTCTGTAATGGGTTAAGATGACAAACAGACAAAAAGCAGAATACTGGAATGGTAAGTTAAGGTGAACACTACAGTCATAAGTTGGTACAGGCTTCAACTAAATGGTACAAACCACTTATGGACAGAGCTTAGGCAATGTGTGTATGTATAAAAATATATATATATATGTGTATATATATGTATATTTTATGTATTTTTTAATGTTTTCTATTAAAAAACTAAACGAATTCATTACAATGCCACACTATGTTGTGCCTCTACAAATTTCTTACCTAAGATACTTTTGCTAAATAAAATGTAGATTTAAAAAAATACTTTTGTTATTTTAAGAAGCCTTTTAAATGTCAATGTTATATATTGGTAAAACCAACTTAATCTGTATTTCACACACCCAAACCCCAAATACCACCTATGTAGATGATGAATGGAGATTTGGCATTTAAAGTGGGTGCACTGACATTTAATACAAGTTTTATATGTTTAATCCACAATTTCTGATTGATTCATTTCAAAAAGTATTTTTAAAAAATAAGCAATTGGCAATGTAACAAGGATACAATCCAATGTGTTCACAGATTGGTTACCTGTGAGACTGGTGCTTTAACATGGGGTGGAATTCCAGAGGAAGAAACAGTACCACTAGGAGGCAGGTTTTTACTGGTCACTGAAGCCCAGGAGAAAGCCTGCAGGAAATGCAACAAACCTAGACTACTAATCATGGAAAACCACCAACATTCCTACAGGGAAACTTCCAAATATATATATTTTCTTTCATTTCTAAACTATTGCTCTATACTAGAAGACTCCTACAAGAGAGGCACACATACACATGCCAGTCTATGTGCCAGCTTTCAAAATCTCATTATGCAAGGTTATAACTTTTGTCTGAACTACTAAATAAAAACCACAAGCAAGTTCCTACATACTCTAGGTAAATGAGCAAGTGGCTAACAAAACCACTAACAACTGCACATCTAGAGAAACCTGAACCTGACAGAACCAATTTTTTCACCTTTTCGGGAAAAGGAAGGTGTGTGATGGTGTTAAGGAGAAAGGGGAAGGATAGAAAAGAACAGAGAATAGTTGGAAACTTTAACAGACATTCACCAATTGACAAGGAATCTCTTCCTCTCACTACCCCAATATATTTTAACTGTCTACTTCACCAAGATAAAATACACTATGGGTGTCACTCATCTTTACAAGATAGCTTATTTCATGTTTTAAGGAAACTGATCAGATTTAAATCACAAAATAGGTAATCTCTTAGATTCCATGATTGCTGGTACATCACAGGGGGTGAGCAACTCAACTGACAGCCTTATACACAGACTTGAGTGATGTAAGTTACTAAGCATTGCATATACAAAGAATAACTTTTAATTTATAAATTTCACTCTTAAGGGTATTTTTTGGGGGACAGGATAACAAAAACAATTCCAGTTGCTTTCATATAAATAAGTATAAAAAAGTACACTTTAATATAAAGCAATTTAATATAGTAAATGTTTCATTAATGTCACCAAATACAGAAGTCTGAAAACTTCCTTTGATCTAACCTTTGGTGGTTCCTGTGGCAGAGAAACAGGTTCTGTTGGGGGAGGAGGAGTAGTGGACTTCTCCTCCAATTCTTCTAAGGTCTTCTCCTCCACTTGTGGTTTTAGCTCCTCAGTCTTTGTTTCAGTTTCTGGTTCTGGTTCAGGTTCATGAGAGGATTCTTCCAAAGGCTCCTCTATGCCATTACTACAATAAAGTATTTAGTCCCATTTTAAGTGTAAGTAAAATGATTGACTAAAACCAGATTAAAATGGGCACAGCCAGTTATGTGTCAATAATCTATGTTTGTTGTTTGTAGTGCTAAGAATAGAACTCAGGACCTGATTGCTATGCACATGTCTAGGCCAAGTGCTCTACCACCAAGCAACACCTGTATACAACCCCATATTAAAAATGGATTACAAAGAACACTAATTTTGATGCTGTGTTGGCCCCCCAAATTCGGCATTATCAGTAGTAGTTATTTTGTTACAAATCATATAAATTATGTAAAACAAAAATGTTCCAAAAAAACTGGTATCACAGGCAATTGGTAGCTCTATCAAACTCTACCTCTAAAAAAAAAAATCTACCTCTAATGGCTGAAAGTTTAATGATACTCAATGCACATAAAGCCCTGGGTTCAATCCTCAGCAATCTATAAAAAAACTAATCCTTTTTTGTTAGAAGCATGGCACAAGTGGTAGAACACCTGCCCAGTAAGCAGTAGGGCCTGAAATCAATCGTCAGTAATACTAGCTGTTTGAACAAAAACTGCTTTGCAACTACCATAGTTGAGTGCGAATGTAACCCTGCAAACACTATTCTTACGTCACAGGGTGAGCTTCATAGTAACCACTATTAGCACTTTCTTGCACAGGTTCAGGAGATGGTTGCCTTTCTTCTTGCTCTTCTTCTACTTCATCCTCTGATTCTGATAAACATAAAACATCACATCTTTCTTAAAGAAAATTTAAATAATTTATGTTTTCCTTCAGTGATACTAGGTCCTGAACTCGGGGCCTTTCACTTGTTAAGTAGGCACTCTATTTGAACCAGTGACAACCCATAATTTCTAGTATATATATTTTCCATATATTTAAATGTTTTTGTTGTTTTTACAAAGACATTCAACTGCAATATTCCCTGGTTTTTTAAATACCACAAGAGAACAAGCAGGACCAAGTTTTTACTATACTCTTATTAGTAAAAGGAAAAGTTAGAAACGATAATCTAGTTTCCTTTGTCAAGTCTTTGTAATAGAGGTACAATGGTAAGGAGAAGGAAAACATATAAATAAATATCAAAAAAAATCAAGTAATTAGCCAGGCCCAACGGCTCACAGGAGGCTGACATCTGGGGATCACTGTTTAAAGCCAGCCAGGGCAGGAAAAGTCCATGAGACTCTTTAACCACCCAAAAGCTGGAAATGGAGCCAAGGCTTAAAGTGGTAGAGCACTGACCTTGACTGAGTATAAAAGCTCAGGGACAGTACCAGGTCCTGAGTTCAAGCCCAGTAGTACAGAAAAACAAGTAACTGTAATTTATACCATACTTATAAAATAGACAGCTATCCAAAGTACATTTAAGGGGGAAAAAACAAAATTAAACTTTGTACTAACTTAATTCTGTTGTGATAAAGGTGCCTTTTTTAGGGGGGGTGGGGCTTGAACTCTATGCCTAGGCGTTGTCCTGAAGCTTCAGCTCAAGGCTAGCACTCTACCACTTGAGCAACAGTTTATGTAGTGCTGAGGCATCAATCCCAGGGCCTCATGCATGCGAGGCAAGCACTCTACCGCTGAACCACCTTCCCAGACCCATAAAAGTGCTTTTAAGTATAGGATCCAAAATTTTTCTACAACAGGCACCAATCTCTTTATCATAGAATGGGAAACAATTTTTCCTTCTCAGACTAATCTGTACCTAATTATATACATCTACATTTTCCTAACAAGAACAAAGGGGAAGGGTCCTGACTCAGTTACAACAGAATTATTATAAAATTAAATTTCACCCTTTTACAGAACCCAAAAAGTACTTAAAGAGTTCTGACAGAATCCTGTTATCTCCAAAGTAATCTTACCTTCATCAAGTTCAGGTTCTGAATCACCAAACACTTCATCTTCATAACGAAACATATCATTGTGAACATAAAATTTATTTGGAACAGATCCCTGTAAAAGAACAGCATCAAACTATTCCATGAATACTCCTTACACTTGGTAATAAATAGAACAAATGACATCGCATAGATAATCTCAATTTTAATACCAGAGAAATAACCTTGACAATGTAATATTGCAAGGCTGAGCATGCTATGAAGATCACTGACACAATACTAGAATTGAAGAAAACTCTTCTCAATAGGACAATTAGGAACAATTAGATACTTTTAAATTCTTTTTTCAATATGTAACCTTTTAAATATGACAATAAGATTTACATGCAAATATTAGACTTTTAATCCCAAATATTTACTCTCAACCTCTCCCTTTCCCCCCAATCAAATGCATCAAAAGGCCCTGTAAAATTTCTCAAAAGTAGTAAGAGCAAATCTATACTTATTAGGGAAAACTCCTGGAGAGTTCAATCAACTAGTAATAGACAAATTGAAAACTTACTTCAGGAGCCAGAACAAAGGTTTGCATAAACTTTCTCTCTGGCTGCCCACTATTAGACAGCAAACCCATGACCTGGACAACCACTCCATCACTCAAGGTTGCATGAGCATCCACATGACGAATTTTGGTATGACATTCACTGAAGTTCAGAGATAACACTTTGTGGTGTATATCCTGTAATGGGGGAAAAAAAGGAAATAGAAATTGTTGTCATATTGTATTACCTTTACAAAGTAACGTTTATCCTCCTTGATATCCTCATAACCCTAAAATGTTAATCATTGAAACCTTTCCACTTCATCTGAATGTCATACCAGTCATGTCAGACTGCTGATCCTAAGTTACCATTTTAAGCATGTCACTTTCTTATAAACAGAAATTTGAGGTGTCTCTCCGCCTCCTTTTGAGAGCACCCATACACTACTAGAGCATCCCCCTGCCTTTCTGCTTGTCTATTTGCTTCCTTACTCAATAAAGCTTGGTCAAATTTTCTTACAAAAATAAAAATAAATAAATCTGAATGGCTCTCTGATATTATGCAGTAATCTAGGCTTCATAGTTTTCCCATTTTTTTACTCATTTCTGTAATGATTATTAATTTTCTTTACTGTGATATTTGCTAATGCCATTTTTCAAATTCTAATTTTAAGTTTGGTAAGGAAGGCTAAATCTCTAAGAAACAAAGTCTTGCATCCTTAATGTCACAAAGAGAACTTACTTCTATGCATTCCTGTGTAGTCCACATTTATAAAAACTATCTTCTCAATTGTTTTATGTATAAAACATATCAAAGACCAGGCACCAGTGGCTCATGCCTGTAATCCTAGCTACTCAGGAGGCTGAGATCTGAGGATTCAAAGCCAGTTCAGAGCCAGCCCAGGCAGAAAAGTCCATGAGACTATTACCTCCAATAAACCACCAGAAAACTGCAAGTGGCACTGTGGCTCAAGTGGTAGCCTTGAGCTGAAAAGCACAGGGACAGTACCCAGAACCAGAGTTTAAGCCTCAGGACTGGCACAGAGAAAAAAAAAGCTATGCCTGAACACAAGAAGACATATACACACATGTATATATGTATATATAAATATGAACTGACTTACATTTTGGCCATAAACAGCTTCCTGGGGTTTTCCACTAGCATCTACACCACCATGAACATAGGAAGAATTCCTGCCATAAAATCTGCAATGCAAAACCATTGATTAAATGTTACCTCTAAATTTTCAAATTTAAAAAATAGCAGCAAGCCGGGCATTGGTGGCTCATGCCTGTGTTCCTATCTACTCAGTAGAGGCTGTGATCTGACGATCCCAGTTCAAAGTTTGCCTTGGCAGAGAAGTCCATTAAGACTCTTATCTCCAATTAACCACCAGAAAACCAGAAGTAGTGCTGTGGCTTGAAGTGGTAGTGTTCTAGCCTTGAGTGAAAAAGCTCAGGGACAGCACTCAAGCCCTGAGTTCAAGCCCCACAGCTGACCCAAAAAAACAAAACAAAACAACAACAAAAAAAAAAACCCAGCAAATTTCTGGTTAGACACATTATATTCTAAGCACATAGGTCCAACACTGTAACTAAGTAGATGTGTAAAGTTACTTAACTTTTAGTTCAGTTTGCTTGGTTATAAAATAGCTACCACCCATAAGGATGTCGTAAGGATTGAGTCATACATACAGAAATCCTAGTGCAGGGGCTAGGAATATGACTTAGTGGAAGTATGCTTGCCTAGCACACTGGGTTCAATTCCTCAGTACCACACAAACAGAAAAAAAACAGAAGCAGCACTATATATAGCTCAAGTGGAAGAGTGCTAGCTTTGAGCAGAGAGAGGCTCAGGAACAGAGCCCAGGTGCTAGTTCAAGTCCAGGACCGGAAAAAAAGGGGAGTGGAGGGCGGGGGGGGGGGGGGGGGGAACTATCCTGGTGCAACAAGCACACTAAGTAGATAGTCAATCATCAGCTTATATCAATGAATTTTTTTAAACAAATTTCACTCTTGTCAAAAGGATTTAACAAAGTAAAACTTCAAATAAGTCTTATAACACTGATTTAAAATAAAAAAGAATTCTAAACAGATATTCTCTAATAGTGGATCCATCTTTTACTTCTAATAAACAAAACAATTAACAACAAAAATTTGGCTGATGTTTTTTTTTGGTGCCTGTACTTGGGCTTGAACTCAGGAACGCAAAGCTCCTGCTCTGTATTTTGCTCATGGTGGATTCTCGAACACTCTAGTTATACCTACAGTTTGCCAATTTATGCCAGTTAAAGGTAAGATTCTCATGATTTCATCTGCCGGGGTGTCTATGAATCTTGATCCTCAGATCTCAGTCTCTTGTTAGCTAAGATTATAGGCATGAGCCACTCACTGGTGCTCAGCTCTAAAAGAGTTGATAATTCAAAGACTAAGTTCTAAGTATACAATTATTTCAGCATCTAATTTCTTATTAGTATTTTCATGCTGCTCTACTTTGAAGTACATGATTAGACTTTCTCTGGCATTACCTAAAGCAATTAAAATTAACATCTTTCTAAATTAAGATTATGAAAAACACAAAAATACCATTTTCATTAAGAGATTTCATATTTATCACAAGACATAAGAGCTTCCTTTGTGCCAAGCAATATTTTCAATACATAACATATATTGATTCGTTTAATTCTCCAAACAAACCTAAGTGCTATTATGTAAATAAGCAGACAGGTTCAAAACCACTTAAAATTATCATATACTTACAATAAACAGTCATATACTTATCAAGGGGTGAAGCTAAGAACCCAGACAGTATGGATCCACAGACCATGTCTTTTAACTACTACCCCATACTTTATGTATTATTGGCAAATATGTAAACGGGCATTATTTTTGAGAGCTTGTTTGGAGGTTCTAGCAGGGGAGCGCAGCTACTCGTATACCCTTGACCCAAGACTGGTCCTCCTCTATCGGGGATGATCGTCCTCTTCGACCGAGGGCGCAGCTTCGGGAGGGACACACATGGAGTGGGGTGAGGGAGGAAGGGAACACCCGCCTAGCCAGCCAGATCAGCCGAATCAACCCTGGCGATCAATGGGGTGACAGAAGTCGCAGCCAGATAGCCTTCACATCCACTGGCATTATTTTTGTAAAGGGATTTTGGCTACGTGTATTTGTGTGTGTGTGCGCGCTCAACATAAGACATGATCATACCTTTGATGTAACACTCACTTCTTCCAGGACCCTATTCTTAAGAATATAACTAACCAGTACAGTACATAAAAATGTATTTAAAATAAAACATTTCTGGGGGCTGGGAAGGTGGCTCAGTGGTAGAGTACTTGCCTTGCATGCATAAGGCCCTGGGTTCGTCCTCAGCACCACATAAGCAAAAAGAAAAAAGCCGGAAGTGGCGCTGTGGCTCAAGTGGTAGAGCACTAGCCTTGATCAAAAAAGCTCAAAGTGGGCGTCGGGGGCTCTGTAATCCTAGCTACTCAGAAGGCTGAGATCTGAGATTCACAGTTCAAAGCCAGCCTGGACAGGAAAGTCCCTAAGACTCTTCTTAACTCCAATTAACCACCAGAAAACCAGAAGTGGCACTGTGGCTTGAGAGGTAGAGCACTAGCCTTGAGCTGAACAGCTCAGGAACAGTGCCTAGGCCCAGAGTTCAAAGTCCCATGACCAACAAAAAAATGAAATAAAAAACCCAAGGAGGCTGAGAATATAGCTTAGTGGCAGAATGCTTGCCTACCTACCATTCACAAAGCTCTGAGTTCAATTCCTCAGCAAGAGGAAGTGGCACTGTGGCTCAAATGGTAGAATGCTAAGCTTTGAGCAAAAAAGAAGCTATGGGACAGTGCCCAGGCCCGAGTTTGGGTGATAGAGCACTCATCTTTTTTTTCTTCTTCTTTTGGGTCCGGTCGTGGGGCCTGAACTCTGGGCCTGGGCACTGTCCCTCAGCTCTTCAGCTCAAGGCTAGGGCTCTACCATTTGAGCCACAGCGCCACTTCTGGCTTTTTTCTTTTTGCTTATGTGGTGCTGAGGAATCGAACCCAGGGCCTCATGCATGCAAGGCAAGCACTCTACCACTGAGCCACCTTCCCAGCCCTGGAGCACTCATCTTGAGCTTTAGAGCTAAGGGATAGCCCCAGGCCCAGAGTTCAAGCCCCACAACCAAGAAAAAGAAAGCAAGAAAAGGAGTCCTGCATATAGTAAATATAAAAAAAAAAAAAAAATGCCAGCTAGGTACCAGTGGCTCATACCTGTAATTCTAGCTATTCAGGAGGATCCCAATTCAAAATCAGCCCAGGGAGGAAATTAGCCACCATCAAGAAAGGGGGAGGGAGGGGAGGAGGGAGGGAGAGTGCATGCACACACATATGCCACTGAGCCATGGTCAAGTGGTATTGTTAGCCTTAAGCAAAAAAGGCTAAGGGACTGCTCCCAGACTCTTGAGTTCAAGCCCTAGGACCAGGGCAGGGGGAAGAGCCTATCAAGTTATAAGGAGTGAGGTATTCCTCACTCACTAGTAAATAAAAGTAAATGCTAAATAATCTGTTTTAAATTTACCTGTGTAAATATTCTGGAGCTTTATTCAGCAAAGTGTAATATTGCCTCACAAACTCTCGCCCTACAAGCAGCGGACTGGGCTTCTCCATAACCATTTCTTTGCTGCACAATGTTGAATGCTGAAAGAGAAAACAAAAAAATAAACTGTTAGAAGGTTACAATTGTCACTACCATGAAGTAAATTCTTAGGCAAAGAATAGAAAAAAAAAATGAAAATTTATAGCGCTTATTAAAGTTATTTATAACACCATCAATGTTTACATCTCTTTGTCTTAGCTTAATATCCATACCCTGAATTCATTATAGGGGGAAGTATGTCCTTATTCTTGAGAAAAATTAGCACAAATTAAAACACATTTTATTTATGCATATAAACTCCTGAACATTTAAAATTATAACATTAGAAATTGGGGAGAAGAAAATAATGTAAATTTTTATTTGTAAAAACAGGATAAATTACCAATGCAGGGATTTATTGCTGTTGTTCAAGGGATTTCTTGCTGTTGTTCAAGGCTAGAGGATACCAAGGCTGGAGTTACTGGCTACATCCAGTTTCAGTATTTTGCTAATTCACTGGAGATGGAATCTCCAAGGCTTATATGCCTAACTTCAATCTTCTTGCATAGCTAGAATTCAGGGTTAAGCCAAGTGGAGGACTGAAATTTGGTTTAAAGGCAGTAGCTCATGCCTATAATACTAGCTACTCAGAAGGTTGAGATCTTAAGGATTGACGTATCAAGTCAGCCTGGGGCAGGAAAGTTCATGAGACTCATATCCAGTTAGCTGGAAGTAGAGCAGTGGACCAAGTGGCAGAGCACCAACTTGAAAGAGAAAAACTAAGGAACAGTACCCAGGCCCTGAAGATCAAGGCCTAGGACCAAAAAAAAAAAGAAAAAAATCAGGGCTGGGAAGGTGGCTCAGTGATTGCCTTGCACACATGAGGACCTGGGTTCAATTCCTCAGCACCACATAAGCAGTAAAAGCCAGAAGTGGAGCTGTGGCTCCAGTGGTATAGAGTGCTGGCCTTGAGCTAAAGACCTGAGGGACAGAGCCCACGTCCACAATCGACAAAAAAATAAATAAATCAGGCTGTAGTTCATTCAGTAGTACAGCAAGGATTCCACATGGCCCACCAAATAAATCATCAGGCAACCTTCTTCCTTACTACACTTAAAGGGAATGAAAAATGATCATAATATCTAAAGTGTGTTTCTACAAAACAGATTGAATGCAGCTTAAAAACAAATCTTAGGGGCTGGGAATGTGGCTTAGTGGTAGAATACTTGCCTACCATGCATGTAGCCTGGGCTCAATTCCTAAATAAATAAATCTTACTTCAAGACATGGACAGAAGGTTTTTCTTTGTTGTTGTTGTTCTCAATGTACTACGTGATTTCTTTTTTTGTGTGTTTCCCCCATTTATCCCATTGTCACTGTGTTCAATTTTGATACCCTGGGTATGGTACATACATTTATCTGAACGTGAGGAGGGAAGGGAAACAAGAAAATGGTGAGACAAAGGGGGAACCTGGGCAACACAATACTCACAAAGCAAGTCAAGGCTTGGGTACCATTCCCAGCACCACAAAAGTAAAAATAAAATCAAGAAGAGCAAGGCTAAGCGACTACTTATAGTTTGATTGCCAGTGAATAAGACAGGGTTATACAGCAAAGTTTTTAAGTAAAATGTGAAAATCATACTTTAACAGTAACTGTTGAAACATATTAAATTGGTACCTGCCTAGCATGGCAATGTGGTGCCCAGCACCACAAAATTAATAATACTGGGGCTGGGAAGGTGGCTCAGTGGTAGAGCGCTTGCCTTGCATGCCTGAGGCCCTGGGTTCGATTCCTCAGCACCACATAAGCAGGGAAAAAA